GTATTCTTTTTTTCATTAAAACTAAGGGGAGTTTATACAGCCTTGTAACCTACCTACGTAAAAAGTATCAAGGTTTTTGTTACGATCGGTCTCCTCGTTTTTTGTGAAAAGCAAAAAAAAAAACAGTTTTTCGCAAACGTAAATGTAACAGTATTAATTCAAATTCTATTTCTAGAATAAAATAAATCCTAAAAGCATTTGAAATACGCGTTCGAAATAGAAACAAAGAACAAAACCATACGATATTTGCCGTTCACGCATTTATTTATCATAAAGTGTAGGCATTTCCCGGCAATTTACATGAAAATTCCACACATTCAGTCGTTTAACGTCGAACTGATAGGTAATTGTGCATGATAAAAAGGCGTCCGGTGCCATTTTTCCCGCACCCTTTGTTACCAGTCAAATGACTGTCATCTGCCGAAAGTGACCGGGTAAAACGACTTTATTATAATCAACTTGTTGCAAATGAACCGAAATTCATTATCTACCACACATTTACTATTTATTTTAGACGTAAAATTGTGAACATTTATATTTTAATGAACAAGGAAGGATTGTATGTAGGTACCTACTCTATGTGATTAATGTTTCAAATACTATTTTTATTAGCAGTAGTTAGTAAATTTTGTACCTGTACTGTTATTCTGCTTACCAGAAAATTTCATACTGGCTCCTTCTGTTTTTCTGATTTAGTGGTCATTTTATCCTTTGATCAAAATGTATATAATCCTACCTTTATAGTGACTTTCATTTCATTTTTATCAACGGTAGGAGCTATATACACCAAGCTAATGTCTGGGCACTAAATTATATCTCTTTTTGACCCCTATAAAATGCAGCAGTTACGTTTGCAGCCACTAATAAAAAAGTAGTTTGCAATTTGCAATATATTTCGCTTTACCCACTGAACATTACTTAGTAGTAAAATTGTTTGCTTTCAAAGGTGTAGTTCTATTATCTAACCCTTCGGGCGCTCAAAGGGTGGGTAGACATGACTTTTATTACTTCACCGGTCCGCAAATTTTCCCCTTTAAAGACAAGCTCCAATATCGGAACAAGAATGATTTTTTCTTAATATTTTTCGAGAGTTATTCTTCGACTGAGAACGAGTATTCTGCGTGTTAATTATAATAAATGTCATGACTTATTTCATACTAAAACAATCAACTTACTTTTAATTCTATTCAATCGTTGGTACTTATAGACTTAATCAAAGAAACAAGTCGATTTCAACTTCTTTTTCAAAACTTTTTACTCTGGAACCTTCGATAAATTTTATGATTCCCGTATTTGCTTTTAGTAAGACTTTTATATCCGATGTTTTACGGCATCAATGTACATAAATTAGCTTTTATTTACGTATTCAAATCGCCTAATTAATACTGGTATAAAATTAGAGTATTTACATAGTTATGTATCTGTTCATGCACTACTTTATTTCCAATGTTTTAGTGATAAATGTAGTGGTTTTTGTGTAAATAATGTTCATAGGTTAATACAAAATAGTATAGAATTGCATTACAGTTAATCATACCAGTAATATAATTAGACCGATACTTTGTTCCTCATTTTGGTGTACCTAATTACTGCGGATAATGATGCGTTATTACCTATTCATTTTGATTTAGTATAATGTTAAATCCAATTGAACAAAACAACATTATACCTTTTTTCGCGTTGTTAGCTATGAGAGCCTTCTAGACCCACACCGAGGGACTCAGGTTTTGAGATACGTTGTAATAAGGTGTAATGGAGGTTCATACAAACCTAAATAATAGTTATATGCTAAAATAAAATGCATGAACTGCATTATTAGGCTAGAATTATCTTCTATACTTAATAACGTTTAGGATATTTTTCGATGATTAAATTATTTGGTTGACGTTTGATTACAACACACAAACGTATCCTTTAGACTAAATTATATGTCGCGGTGGCCCGGAGGTTAAGGAGCCCGCTTCTCATGCATGAGGGTGTGGGTTCGAAACCTGGCAAGTACCAATGTGACTTTTTCCGAGTTATATGTACTTACTATAATTATTTAGACACCACTGACATACGGTGAAGGTGAACATCGTGAGGAAACCTGGACTTATAATGTCTAATTATAAGTTTGAAATCGCCAACCCGCATTGAGCAAGCGTGGTGATTAATGCTTTACCTTCTCCGTATGAGAAGAGGCCTTTGCTCAGCAGTGGGCACTTATAGGCTGGTGATGACGATGATGATCCTTTAGACTACCAAATCTTAGGTTATCTTTTTTTATCAAAAACAATCGATTGTATGACGCACAGTGCACTTTCAGTTAATAAAAGGCATTTTTACACAACAATTAAAGTAATCCTACTAGGTCTACATAGAAGAAATGTTTAATTAAGGTTATTAACCGCAATGATAATACGTTGTTACTGTCTCCCACTAATTTGAGAGCACTTTCATGTCCCAGTCAATTTGCAAGCTTCCCGAGTACCCTCGAATCATCTTGATTCCGTTGAGAATAATTAGGTAGATCCTTTTTTCAGCTTTGCTGGATATTTCATATTGATATTATTATGTATTCCCGTTTCTAGTGATCTAATTACTTGTTTTTTGAAGTTCACAATTTGATTGGAGACTGCTTCGTAGGTGATTGCACGTACTCTTCAGTCTGTTGCACAATGTCTTTTGAATTTTGAACGTATTTTTTACAAACTATGTGTCCCAGGACGATGGAGCTATCATTAATAGGGATGTTCTTTTTTTGAAATTTAAAGTCTTTAATATTGTAAGTATCCGTTGCTTAGCAGAAGCGTACTCTTTACCTGTGGCATAATAAGAATGAAAAAAATATTAAGCATACGTGGGGACGTATGCTTAATATTTTTTTCATTCTTATCTTTCTTATGCCTGATCTTTAAAACTTGTAACGTTTTATATTGAATTCAACGCTCCTGTCAAAATATTAATATCAAATTCACACGCACACTAATTATCAACGGATTATGTAATTTTTTTAAAGATTGAGAGAGTGATTTATGAGGAATGTTTATAAAATATGTGATAATATCTACATCTATACTAATATTATAAAGAGATAAAATTTGTAAGTTTGTATGTAGGGGGTAATCTTTGGAGCCACTGGTCGGATTGCAAAAATTCTTTCACTGATAGATAGCTACAATGCTCCTGAGTGCTATAGGCTATAAAACATCACGCTACAATCAAATGGAGCTGAGCAGCGGGTGAAACCGCACGAGAGTAGCTAGTATTAAATAATGGAAAAGTTTAATCTGAGCATTGCACCTGTGCGAAGCCGGGGCAGGTCGCTAGTTGTTACATAAGATAGCATAACTTTGGGTGTTTAATTTAATACTTGACATTTTTTTCTACGTAGATAACATAAGGTTTGCACAATTGATACACTTTTTCTTATTTTTTTTTCATGTCAACTTGAGATTGATTATACCTATGTATATATCTACATTTTTCTATTAATCTGTTAATCTTTTGCTCATATACTCTTGTTCGGCCACTTTTATTATAATCTAAACAATATTTCTCCTTTTTTTAGGTGATCTTTTTTAACCAATTTCACAACTGGTAAAACGTGAAAAAGGAAATTTGGTGAATGTTCAACATCAACGTTATAAGTGCTCAATGCTAGGCGATGGCCTCTTTTCACATCCAGGTTTCCTCACGATGATTTTTCTTCACTGCTCGACAGTGGTGTCTAAATTTATACCTAGAAATTACGTATAACTTGATAACTGTGCAGGTTCGAACCTGCACACTTATGCATGGGAAGAGAATGTTCACTACTGAATACCCATTTAATACATTGAAGTGATAAAAATCACACTGTATAAGAATCTTTTTGAAACTTCTCAACTTTATCTTTAGTCATCGTTACAAAAGTATTTTGCAAAATGTACCAAAAAATTAATCCTTATTATTAATGGCATAAGGACTTCCTCATAATTGGATGTAATACGAGTGGGTCGGCAGACATATAGCTACACAGCTACATATTGAAATTTTATTTCTCACTCCAATTATGAATTGGCCCACAATAATTAATTGGAATGAGCGTTCTGAGTGCTTACTTCAATTAAAATGCAATTAATATTTTTAATTGTTTATTTGTCGTTTGTTTTAATGCATTATATATTTAAATAAGTTCATAACAAAAGTTTTTCTTTAAGTAGTATGTATAAATAGCCTTAAACTATCGTTACTGTAGGTATCGACTGAATAGGTTTGGTTATGAAGCGGATATATCTTTATGAAATTCGTATTAGATATATTTTTATATGTATGTATTGTATAAAAATTATTATAATTGCAGTGATTACTTCAGCTAGAACAATTTAAATTGTTGGATCTAAAAGTTTTCGGTACAAACAGTCACATCTCTCCTTTGTGAAGTAATCTGGACTTTATAAACCCTTAAAATACTGGTTATTTCAGCTTGTGTTTTGTATTAGCTTTTGTTATTATGTGACACAATCTGAAATGTATAGTATATTTAAGGTTTAAGGCACAACGCACTAGTCAGTCATTACATAATAATATTGACATTGGTAAGACACAACCGAAGGTCCAAAATTCAACCTCCTAGTGCGTTTTCTGCTTAACTATATGAACATAACAATTACGTTTTACAAAAAAAGAAAATACACAATAAAGAAATTTTACATAAGAAAGGAATAACCTATTTTAATTTTGTAAATAAATAGTATAATCACAAATATCAGATTGAAAACATTTTCCTCCATTTTTGTTTTTTTTGGCTGTACTTGTTAAAAATTATAACTGTATGTACCTAGTAGGTAGATTTAAGTTTTTATAAACACACTTCGGATATTTTTTGATGCTATCTAAACATTTTAGAATCAATTTCTTCAAGAAGGTTTTTTAACAGTTTTCAAAAATTTAAGAAATCACCTCAAGCTTACTCTATCCAACCAGAAATACGTTATTTATCAGTAGCTGCTTACTTCGAAGTGTGTCGATAAAATAACAGGCACAGAGTCATCTCAGCATTTTATAGTTTGTAAGGGAAAACCACATCAAAATCTATCAAACATGAAACCAAAAACTTTCAGACCCAACACATACTCACGTATTCACTAAGTACAAAAATATTAATTTCAGAATATCTATTAACAGAATATTATTAAAATAAGTTTTCATTGAAATCATCTTGTAAAGCCAATAAAACTGTATTTTGTACCCCTCATCATCAGAGCAACTGGTTTATTGTATATTCTATGTAATTATGTATGTAGATAGGTAATTAATGTTCTTAGCATTTACTGTTAAAAAGTTTCATCTCTAAATACAACTAATAATAAGTATGCTATAACAATGTATCGAATTAAATTAACGACATAACATTTCAAATTATTCTATATTGCTCATATTTGTACAAAGTTTTCATTAAGTATTGGTGTTTTCAATTCTGAAAAATATATAATGTATATACTATATTATTACACATGAATATAATATTCATTTATTATTATTGAACATCTTAGAGAATTTTACAAAGCACTTAAAAGTATTCGAGTACCCATACATCTGAGGAACTAGTAAATAAATCAAATAAACGTTCACACTACATACAGGTGAATGTGACAATCAATAATTAGGTATAAACATGACTAAATAAGTAAGTACAAAATCGAAAATGTCTATAAAGTAATGTCTTTATCTGCACTGAGTAATATATTTACACGTCTATATACAAAGCTATCACATATTACATTTTATTCATATCACTATATACATTATTGCAAATTCAATGTTCCTCGTCATTTTGACGACAGTACACAACTTCGTTCGTATAACTTAGCAAAGAAAATATACCCGCGATATTGTCCTTTGCGCACAACTTATGTTAGACGTACACTATGTGTGGTTTCTCGGGCGTCCTGTGATGAGGTATCGTCTCATAGGCAAACTGTTGGTAGATGTGCTCCTCACTGTCCTCCTGGTAGTATGGATTCTTGTCCACGCTATGCCACGGCGGATTCAATGAATGAAAGTTATTACTCACTGAGGACCCAATCATTAGATATCGATCAACGTCTCTTTTGGCGTCCTGTTCCCTACTTCGTGTTGAGTAACCTAATCCATTCCCTAATTTTGACACATCACCATTCATCATGACACTCGTCATGACTTGTTTTGACTTATCACCTTTACACTTCTTCAAGGGTCCCATGAAGTATAAAACACCACCAACCACGCTTATAATGATACTCACAGTAAGCACTACTACCGCTACTATCACCCACCCACTCGAGCACCCAAATTCCGACTCCGGAATCTGTACAAAGAGGACACCCTTTAAATGCGCTGGAGCAGCACACTTTACATCCTCATAGTCTATTTTAAGAATTGAACTTGTGTTCCCAGACTTCCTGCTGCTGATTTCACTCTCTCGACCAAGTTTCCACAGCCACAACAAAGAACAATTGCACGTGAAGGGGTTTCCAGCAATTTCAAGCTCCTGCAGTCTATCTATTGGGAAATGTGACGCTTCAAGAGCCACCAATGCGTTGTTCTTCATATAGATGTGGGTTAGCTTCGGATTGCCATGAAATAATCTGGGTGGAACATCACCAACTTTGACATTTTCGTTCATCCATATTTTTTGCAAGTTTATATTGTCGACAAAAGCTCTGGAGTCAATTCTCTCCAATTCATAAAGTCTACTCAAGTGTAAATGTTTTAAATGGAAGAGACTCTGGAACGAAAGTGCCGTAATGTTTTGAAAGAAGTTTCCACTTAGGTACAAATGGGACAAGTTTGATAGTTTAGACAGAGCTGACGTCGGGATTGATGTCATGTTGTTATCACTCAGATCCAGGTGCCGCAGTGACGGTAAGTTGTGGAATCCTAACTGATCCACACTTTCGATTAAATTGTTGTTCAAGTCTAAATGTTTCAATTCCTGCAAATATGGTATACCATGCTTTGGTACCTGTTCTATTAGGTTTTCTGATAAGTCTAAAATTTCTAGGTGCATTATGAATGCAAGATTATAAGACGGTATGTCTAATATAGAATTGTTCTTGAGTGATAGAATCTTCAGTGACATCAAAGGCTTGAAAGCATCTGGCTCAAACTTCACTAGTTTATTGTTCGACATATCTAACCGCTCTAGTGCGGATAAGTCTTTAAATGTCTGCACATGAATGTTTGTTATTTCATTGTTTGCAAGATTCAAGTCGATAAGACTCTTCAGCCCAATAAATGTGTCCTTATCTAAACGTTTTAGAAAATTATGGCTCAAATTAAGATGAGTCATTTCCATGTTGTTTTCGAAATTTCTACTACCTAAGTCTACAATTCTGTTGTAGGAAATGTCGAGGACAGTAAGTTGCGTGTAGAAGCCGAAAGTATAGAGAAGGTTGTCGATAGCATTGTGTGTTAGGTTGATGTGTGTAGCTTCTGGATTCAGCTGTATGGGTACAATCTCTAGGCTGGCGTTGGCGCAGGAGGCGGCGCGCAGTGCGTCGTCGCAGGCACAGCGCGCGGGGCAGAGCGTGCGAGCTGCCGTGCCCCACGCCCATGCCACCACTACCACCCACCAGCGCCACTTCGCTACGCAGGAGCCCATAACATCTCATGTATACGCCACAGGAGATCTGTAACAAAAAAATAATGTTTTAAAATATATAGTGAATGACACAATGACACGTCATTTGTTAATGATAAGTTCTAGACTTCTATTTGCAATTTGTTTAGTTAAATTATTGAATTCTTTTTTGTCTACGTTGACTTCTGAAACGTTTTGAATTTAATATATTTACTAAATAAGGAAAAATCTCATTGCTATAGATGGTATCAAGTTTATTTTTCGTGTAATTTATTGTTATCATAAAATTCGCTCCCTCGGGATGCGTTGCCCACGACCGAGGAGTAAAAATACATATTATCGTAGCACAAAATCTTAATATAATTTCTCCCGAAAACTGCAGATAACAAATGTGCTTCTCCGCAATTTGTATGGGGGAGTGGAATTGTTTGATCCAAATTAGGCCGATAAGAGACGTGCCGCGCCGGCAGAATTGTAGGCTGCCACAAAAACTTTTTTATTATCCTACCACGGCATCGTAGCCATCCGTCTGTCCTAGATAGAAGGCTGTTTAGTCGCATATTGCACAGACGCTGTTTACGTCGTTGATTTGTTATTCAATATAGCATTATGAGAACGACTTGTCATTTGTCGGCGGGTGGCGAGCAGAGCCGCGCGGCGGCACGTGCCGCAGGGTTAATGCGTTTCACAGCGCGCGCCCACTAGCGCACACCCGGCAAGCTCGCAAACCATATTGCGCACCTTTATTTATCGTCCCGCATTTCCACGCAAGACGAATGTTCTCAGTAAACGGGAAACTAGCGGGCAGCACTCTGCCGCTAATCCTCCGCCGCTCCAGCGCTTCCTCAACAATACCGCCCAAAATGCTCGGCGATTTAACAAAGGAGCCTTCGGTAGGTACTTTAAATTAAATGTTCGGCTTTACAATTCGACGGAATGTATAATGAATAGCACCGTAACATCTGTTAACGAAGGCGAACGATCTAGAAAGTTTTCACGCGCGGGAATAACTAATTGCGAAGGTTGGAATTCAATTTATGGTTTCTAGTGCGCCTCTCGGGAGATCACGCCATGCTGAAGTATTAATAATGCAAAACAGTGTCACGGAAAGTTTTCGATTCCAAATGCAAATTGAATTAGGAAACAAAGTTGTGAGTGTTGAACTTTCGGCTTGTCATCATTGGCTGTATCGCGATTAACATCAATTTTGTGTAATTAACATGAAAATCACACCAACTTTTCGTAATCCTCAGAATATTTTAACCCCCACAGGCAAACTCATAGCCAGCCACAACAAGCAATCCATTTGCAGTTTGAATGCATTGGATGCTATCATTGTGGACGACACTTTGCAAACCAAACATATTCAGATCCACACAAAGGGGAGGATAAACAGTCAGCATCTCGAAGGAATCCGGCGTCTCGAACCACATTGTTCCATCCGATAGGTAGTACAAGCGAGTCCATATAAAGATGCGAGAAAACGGCACCTACCTTCCCCCAGAAACTCGATATCGCTCGACGCGAATAGATTACACCGGCCCGCCTGAATTACAGAAACCATACGTAGTACTTGATACATTGAGGATCCGTATTAGGAAGGATTAATTCTGTTACATTCCAAATGTATTCGGCGTCGTGTCAACGTGAAAGATTGCATGTTTAATTATTTTGAGATTCGCGTCGTGGGGATGATTACTTTTCGCTACAATGAGGTTCTTAAACAATATACATACTTTGGAGTTTTACTTAGGTTTTATTTGAATTAAATAAAATTTTGAACGTCTTTATCTGATCTACCATGGTTTTTAAGGTTGCAAGTGTGATAGAATAATTCGCGTGTGTGTACCTCAGATAGGTTTTTTAATATTCTTGGGGGTGGTTGAGCGTCGATGAAAAACTGTGAAGGGTAAGGGCACGCCTTCCATTTCCGAATCTAAACTGCCCTGGCCGCCACTCTTTTGTCTTTTAATTTCCTGTCCGCCAGAGTGCGCTCCCATCGTGAATTTTACTTTCGTGAGCTTCGTTAACTTATATCGGTCTTTGTTGTTGCCTATTGAACTTTTCCATTACCGACGTCATCGATTGAAACCGCTAAATTCGTTGGAAAATTCTCGTCGCAGAAATTGACGCCCCCCTCCAAAAACAATATGATCAACGACTCGATCCCCGTTTTCCTTTTATAAATCGAGTATGTTTTCAAGTTTTTGTTTTGTTTTCGTTCCGTCGAAGCTCTTGAAATGGAAATTAAATATTTCCTTATTGAAAAGTTTGAGTGTTATAAACATTTAGATGCGGATTTTAATAATTGTAAGAAACTTTCTTTCATTTCGACTGACTGCAAATAAGGATTTTAAGTAAAGTTCATTTTCTTTTCAAACAAGCAATTGTATTACTTAGAATAATTTTTCGAAGCGATATTTTCATGGGAAGCACTGAGCTGTGATTTGTTAATGTCCGTCACGTATCAGCGCTTATTATCGCCAGTTTTACTGTTCGTGTGTCGCCACGTTTTAATGAACTCATTATTTTAAGTTAATATGCATCGTACTTTGTCGTTTCCTGTCCCAATTCCATAACGCGTGTTTAGTATTAGTTTCACATTTAGAGAATATTAACCCGGCAACCGCTTTTGTAAAGCGGTTTCGGGTGCTCGACCCGGCAAAACTGGCGACCTTCCTAATTACACCATAACATCTAAACACCGTTTAGGCCGCGACGCTAAGGGATGCCCGTAATATATTATACAGTTTCGCTTACGAAATTCAATATCAAGGGTTTCAAATCTCCCCTGAGCATTAATAGGACTAAACGTCATCGGCACCATTTAAATTATTATCAAAACTATCCGTTTACCTCGGGCTGTCGTCCTTTAGGCCTAATTGCGAAGACGAGCCAATCGGACTCGTCGAACCAAACGGTCCCTACTAAAGTTATCACGGTGTTAATACAACTTGAGACGTTACTAACACAAAGGACGCTTTACGAGGGGCTGGGACAATAAAACCAGTGTAAAAGTCGGCTAACCGCTCCTCTCGCCCTCCCCAGGAAAATATCTTAGCCCTCTCCACTTTTATGAGTTGCTTAAGTCGTACTCTGCCGTTTTTAAAATAGTCTCTTAGAGTTAAGCCGAAAACTTTGGAGCTGAACATATTGAAATAGAAGGTGAATAGTTTTCGTTGCGTATTTTTAGGGGAAAATTAAATGTGGGTATTTTGTTCATTCGGGACGAGTGCGTACGTGTCGTGTTTGATGGTAGTAAGTAATGGTGTGAGTGGCGGGTGGTGCTAGCGGCCATAATGAGAAAACTTGGCCGGCTGAGGAGAATGCACCGTGGTAGTTACTCGCAACGAGCGGACCTAAGCAGAGCGGCGCGAGGCGAGCGAACATTCACTTCTCACAATGAGTTCTATTAGAATGAATGCCTGCGCCTACAATCCCACATACATTACTCACACGACCACGTAGCGAGCACCAATAATAAAAATATTATCTGGGTACACAAAGGCAGTATTAAATTGGTAGTTTTAAACTCGAAGTTTAAATAGAACATTGAATAATTAGGAGATAATTACAGCCTTATAACTGTTAATTTAACCATCTTGTACGTAAACAAAAAGTTTTCAAATATATTTTCATTAATTGCTATTTAAATGAAAATCTCGCCGGTGCACGTTAAAGTGTTGGATTGTTAAAAGAAACTTTTAATTTGATCTCAGCAATTCAAATGTCCTTGCCTGGGAAGTGTCTGAGTTAGCACGATTTGGTGCGCTCCTGTCTTGGGTTCTTGTATTAATAATACACCTACTACATTGATTAGATTGACATTGATCGTCAATTTCCTCGAACGGGAGGGGATGTTCTTAATGAATTCATTCTTTAAGAAGCAGCCCCAAAGGAAGTGGACGTGGCAAAGCCCCGACACTATGACAAAGAACGAGATCGACTTCATCATGGCGGACAAAAGGCACATATTCAGAGACGTCTCCGTGATTAATAGGTTTAATACCGGTAGCGATCACCGACTCGTCCGAGGCTCTCTGAATATCGACTTCAGAGCCGAACGAGTCCGCTTGATGAAGGCCAGGCTCCGACCAACCCTGTTTCAAATCAAAATGGGATCTGAAGCGTTTCAGTTAAACCTGGAGAACCGATTTGCTGCCCTGGAAACCACAACCGACGTTAACCGGAACCTTGAAAACGTGGTTCGAGTTCTCAGGGAAGAAGGTACGAGATTTTGTGAAATGCAGCGTAAGGGCAAGAAGTCGAAGCTTTCGGAAGAGACTTTAGGGCTTATGAAGAGACGACGTGAAAACCCACCCGTCACTTCGTCAGAGAAGCGGGCTCTAAACCGAGAGATTAGCAAACACGTGCGACACGATCTCCGGTGCTCGAATACCCTTGCAATCGAGAGAGCGATCGAGCAAAACCGGGGGCCAAAAGTGTTCGTACAATCTCTTGGAAGAAGCCACCTGACGAAGTTGACCACAGCAAGTGGAGAAGTCGTTGTCTCGAAGCCGGCAGTTCTTTCGGAAGTAGAAAACTTCTACGGCCGGTTATACGCTTCGCATGCATCTCGACCTGACCCCGGAAATGAGGACTCTAGAGCCACTTTAATACGCCATTACACCGAAGACCTGCCAGAAGTCAGCATTGACGAAATCGAGATCGCTCTTGGACAGCTTAAAAATGGAAAAGCCCCTGGAGAGGATGGCGTTACGACAGAGCTTCTAAAAGCAGGCAGCAAACCGGTACTCAGGGAGCTGCAAAAGCTATTTAACGCTGTCCTGTTTGAAGGGAGAACTCCAGAGGCGTGGAGTCGGAGTGTGGTCGTCTTATTCTTCAAAAAGGGTGACAAAACCCTACTGAAGAATTATCGACCCATTTCCCTTTTAAGCCACGTCTATAAGCTGTTCTCGAGAGTGATCACGAACCGCCTTGCGCGAAGACTTGACGAATTCCAACCACCGGAGCAGGCTGGGTTTCGGAGCGGATACGGCACCATAGACCACATCCACACAGTG